GTAAACGTTTCGCCGGCATCATAGTCGGGATTGACTTCACTAGTCTCTTTGACGAGTTCGTAGCTTGGTGTGGAGAATGGCAAAGCTGACTAATGATGCCGACTAAGATGCCGGCGAAACGTTTGAGAATGTATCAAGTCCACTGTCAGCTGCTGGGAATCATGATAACTACTACATAGTCGCACTGACAACGAGGTCAATCCACTTCGATACTATCTAAGTTATGCTCACTCTGTTTATTTTAAGGTGATGAAGGACTGGTAGTTGAATTTTCCCACAATGCTATGAGTAGAGATGACGCTTCCATTCAATTTCACATAGCCTTGTTTCCCAAAAGGTGTTCTCATCCAGGTTGGACTGCACTCACCACAGAATGTGGTATGGAAAAATGTCTGGCCTTCCTTATAATTCACATCTGCTCTGTGACTCGAGGGCATTCGTGACAATTTGGCGTAATGGTTAACGTGTCAATATCACACTGTCATGGTTCGAGTCCCCCTGGGTGTGTTGATAAGACCTAGGCGAGGTCGAAACTGCATTCCAGCCTAGATGAGAATAACTTTTGACAAGGTAAGGTGATGTAAAACTCAATGGAAACGTCAGCTATACTAAACTACCAGTCCTTCATCACCTTAAACGAAATAGGATGAAAATAATTCACAGATAGGATCTACTGATAGCCCAGAAAACCTACTCAGAACGAGATATTATTTAACTTGGCCTGAACTAGACAAGAATACACGGACAATCACACATGCCACAATTCACATTCGTTCCTCGGATAATAGAAAGTTATGATAGCGAAATAGAGAAGTGACAAGGGATTTTACCACAGTCTTTGGGGTTGCCTTCCCTAGCCTTTATTTTTAATGTCAATACCTCATGCTATCCAGCAGGAGTTTCCATAACATTTGGAAAATACCACAACAATATTAGTGATTACTATAAACTGGATTATTGTGCTTGCTCTCTGGACCTTACAGTTGGTAAGTTATCATATTAATAAAGACCAAACAGCTAAAATAGGGACCATCGGGCTCAGTAAAAATATGGAATGAGTATTTTATTGATTATTCCTTCGAACTAACTACTTAATTCCGATTAAGTAGGCTTCGAAACTAACAGTAGACCATGAATAAGACCAGTATTCGCCTTAGGCGGTATAAGATGTTGAAGAATTGAAAAAAATATGTTTTCGCCAATAAGTTAAGTAGGTCTCAGGCTTGCATTAAAATGCATGTGGTCTTGCTACCCAAGACTTATTCCCACTTAAACAGGGCTGCGATTTTTACTTCGCCCGGGTCTCATCAACACCTCCAGCGAGACTCGAATCCGGGAAACGGAGCGTATACTTCACATTGCAATGAATGCGCTGCATTACCTGAGCTTGATTCTCGCTGGGGGTGCAGATTAGATCCAGACAAGGTTGAAACTTCAGTACTGCCAGGATGATAAAACATTTTGGTGAGCAAGGCCAAGTGATAAAAGTTGTTTGACCTTGTTTACGCAACTTGGCCATATTGGCAGGAAAGCCTAGAGGAACACACCTTGTCCGGAGTCCATAGTATGCATGGTCATTTCCAGAGTCGGACCGTGGACTTGGCACATTCCCAGACGTTTCGCCGACATCTTCCGTGAGCCTTGCCTGTTCTAGCACCCAAGCTACAACTTGTCAAAGAGACAAGTGAAGTCAATCCCTTGACCAACTTTCTGTTGAGACGATTATGCTATCACTCCTCGTTTTGTCCTGGTTCCTCGATCCGTTTCCTACCCTCTAGTCTGGCCCTCGTCCTTCGCAATTTCTGACATGTTTATATTCCATAAGATATGTGTCCTTTTGGCGAATTTACCGTGGCGTCACCACACCTACCGTTTGCCTTGTTCCTGTCTCTTTCGAGTGCCTGATCCTGCTCTAGTCTTCTGCTCCGATCTGCCTCATGGGCCTGTGGGTCCATTTCTTTATCTTTCTGATTGACCGGTTCCACTCGGTTTCAGGCCCAGCATACTTTTACTCGACGTGCTACTTCTCAAGCCATCAGTAGCACGTACAAAGTCGCCTTATCCTCAGAGCGCCTGGGCTCTGATTCCCACGCCTGCGGACATCTGCCTCTGGTCGCTTGCTGCATCTCAAGTGGATTATTAGCGCATTTGGTCAAAATACCCGATTTCTATGACCCAATCCCTCTCCCTACTCCCGTGACACGTGGGCCCCCAATTTGTGCTTGTTTATTCGAGCTGATTACTCTCACTGAAAACGTCTTCACTTCATCTTTGAAACCTTCTCACCCTCTTCTTCCTTGCGATCCCTGTTCCTCTGGCTTACGATATATCCCTGATCCAGGCGTCTCCTTTTTCTGGTATTGCTGTATTCTTCTTTTCCCCAGTTCGACTAGGCAATAGGCAAAGTTAGCACTGACTTTGTCTTCTACCAATCTCCTGTTCATTGCATTTTACCCCGAGCATGTCAATATCCTCCCAAATCTTCCGTTTCTTTCTGTTTTCACCCTATAAAGCCCTTCTTTCTGTTGCATTTCAATTGATCTCGTGTCCAGTCTGTGCGATGTGTTTCGCTAGTTCTGATCTTTCAGTATCCATTTTCCTGCTGAGCCTTTGATGTTTCTCGATTCGTATGCCGATTTGTCTCTCTCGTTCGCCAATTTATTTTTGATCGCAGGCGCCGCATGCTATGCAGTAAACTCCTGACGGCGACCATACAAAGGCCGCACCATCCTGGTCTTTATACTTTCGAAAGCCAAGTGATGTTTAACGGAAACGTGAGACCTACTCAAATGATTGTAAGAAAAATCAACAATCATTGAGTTAATGTTCTTTGCTGTGTATTCATATGCAGTGTAATCGTTTTAATGAGGGTTAGTGATTTTAGAACTCTGGATAAATGCAGAAAAAGTTAATATATGCGAAGTCAGGAACTTTTTCTCAATTCCCCGCTCCAAGCAACTGATTAAAAAGGTTAGTCACTTTTGCGCTGCCGACGATTTTTGACTAGAAATGCTTTATAGACAGCTTTATAATTGCTAAATTGAGGTGCTTGATGATGACGGGTTTTGAGTCTCCTAAAATTGTTCGCATATACAAGACAACCTTTCCAACCAGTACGCGATACTATCCCCGAGAGTAAATATTTTAGGCACAAATTCGTACGGGAACTTAATACTCAAGTAAGAAAGGGTGTTGCTACGGCTTACTATGAAACCAAGCCAAAATGGCCTGTTTACGACAAACGTAAAGGAGGCGGAATAAAAGCCATGATGGGGTGACCTTTATTATGGTCGCGGTCCCCTTTCTTTGTATTCACATTTTGGTTTTTGATGTCAAGACAACATAGATTTACGCACCTGCCATAGTTGTCGTGGCTACAGATTATGGATTTGTACATTTCGAGACGTTCCGTCGATATCG